TGGCAAGCAAAGTGAAAAGAAAAAGTCAAAAACTGTTGAGTGATGATGCTAGAATATAATTTCTTACAAATTGGCCAAAGAATTATTGTTTTAAGTTATTTTGTTCTTATCAGACAATCAAAACATATTCTGGGTATAAAAGTTGCTGCAGCTGAATACAACTGATTATTATATGCTGAATGGTATTTATCACTGATCATTATGTTTTATATTAAAGATGATTGATATATTATATTAGTCCTATGAACTGCCAGGTTACCTGGATAATTGTAACTAGCCTCATATAGTTCTTATTAATTCTAAGATATCTATGAAAGTGTGTAAAAATGTGCATTTAGTTGATAATTTTATGACAATGTACAAATAATAGAAAAATAAGGATAGAAAAAAGTCATAGATTAGCTGTTCTAAAATATTATAAGTGCAAAGGAAGCATGAGAACCAGGTGAGTTCAACTTTTGTGGATATATGTTCTGCCATAGTTTCAATTTAGGCCATACAAGAAATCAAATTAGCAGGTATCCATCGTCTCCAAATAAGAAATATTATAATAATAGACCTGTTAAGTTTCAGACTTAGAATATTGTCACTTTAAATGTACACTAGTCAGCATACATTAAAATGAAATTTCATTGCATACAGCTCTCAAACAGTCACAACCATGAAATATTGACAAAACTTTGTGGAGAGGGTTTTCCAAAATCTATTTTTAGCAACTGGCCTTTCCAGCATATCACAGTATGACAGTTGTTTTTTCACATCTACTTCAGTGTAATGCTTTGCTTCCTTTGGCTACAACCAATGGTGGGATTAAGCTGGTTCCCACTGGTTCAACAGAACTGATAGCTATTTTTTGTTGTTGTTGAGTTCAGCGAACTGATTATGATAAATCTGTGTTTTCCAAAACACAGATAGTTTTCGTTCAACTTCCTTCCAGACCCGGGAGTGGGAGAAAACCCTTCCAAATTCCAAGAGAGGAGCGATGGAAATCAAACAGAGACATGGTGCCTTGTATTATGTCATTCAGGGGGGAGTCTCAAGTGAGAGGACAGGAGATCGGAGGTGAAGAAGTCTGGTGCAGGCTTCGAACACCTTTTCTGGCGTCAGGAGCGATCCCCCAGGGATACATGAACCCCGGAGAGGTTCGTGTCAACGTGGAGATCCTCGAGCTGCAGAGGGGGGAAGGCAACTCCCCAACAGTGAAGAGGGAAGCTCCCGAGCTCGGCGCTAAAGAGTAAGCTGTCATTTTATGGCGGCTTCCAATCCGGTCTGCCACTTGAGTGAATAAGCAAAGCAGTGACAGCCTGCGAGATCCAGTAACAGGAACAGAGAAACGGTTTATATCTTGGATTCTTTGAAGTCTGAAGGGAGTAGAATGACAGAAGAATGATAGCATAAATTCTTCTCTCCTGGTTGTGATAAGCACCTCTTGGAAGTCGGGCGGAGAGCGGCCAGAAAAGCAATTGGGGAAGCTTTGGGGAAAGAGAGAGATTGCTAAAACCTGGAGATTGGAGATCCGGAACTGGTCTGAGCACAACATGACTATTACATCTACTTAATATTGGGGAGAAGATAAATTGAGCATTATATTGGACTTTGGAAGATTTGTATGTGGATTTAAAAGTTGGAAAGCAAAGAAAGAAGCAGCAGCAAGAGGAAGAAGCCAGAGGCGAACAGAACGCTGGGAAAGACGGTTTTGAGACTGCAGATTAGTCAGCACTTTTCACCATTTGCTGATTGGAAGGCTGAAAAGAAACCTCTAGCTGGAAGATGGAACTTTAGCTCACCCAATTTGCTCTCTTTATTACGTGGTACTACTTAAGTTTACTAAGTTGGCACTATTTTCTCTTTAAGATGACTTCCTTGTGGTTGTTTGTTTGTTGATTTTCTGAAGCTGTGGTAATCTCTCTTCTACCCCTTCTCTTATTATCTTGCCCCTTGCCTCCCTATTGTATCTCCTAAACACTTTACATAATTTTACTTACTGGGGGGGGGGAAGAGGAGGATACACTATTATCAAAGAGTTAAGAGTTTACTGTTGTAAGTATTAATAGTAAAAAGGGATAAACTTTGTTGATATAATCTATTTATAAATTATTTAGACTACTTACAACATTTAAGATTAATTCCTTAAAGTGTTAATTGAGGTACTATTGTTGACCAATTTTCTTATTACATTGACTAGAATATTGTTGCAGATCTCTATTTATGATATAGGGGAAAAGACTGTGGAGTGAGATATAAAATTGAAATACGTGAATAGTCTTTCAAGTACAGAACCCAAATACTGAATGGTGATTTGGGATAATATATTTAATATTGTGCATCAACAAAAACAAATACTTAGAGAGATGACATCCACAACAACTATGGCCTTAAAAACAGGAAAGAAGGCTATCCCGACCCTATCGACTACGTTGACAGCCACCCCACCAACATCTCAAAAAACTATCGAGGAGTCTTTAATAGGGGAAAAGCAGCCCAATGTCCCCAATATTAATATACAAACTTCCATATTAGCCTTGCAGGAAGCTATATCTAAAATGCAAGAAATGATGATTAATAATCACAAGGAAACTAGAGCAGATATAAGTGAATTGAAAGATGAGATGGGGAAAATGAAGGCTGAAATGAAAGCGGATATAGCGAAGGTGGAGGGTAAGATAGGGTCTCTACAGCAGGCCATGGAGAGAAACGAAGTGAAAATAAAAGATATAGAGAGTAGAACAACACGCATGGAGTCTAACTTTGAAAGGATGGATGAGGAATTTAAAAATGTACTTAGAGAAACGGAAGACTCTCTGATCCACCTCGAGATGGACAAAGCAATGGCGTATTTAAGATTCCAGAATGTGGCGGAAGCCAAAAATGAAGAATTGGAACATTTGATGGCAGAAATATTGGCTGAATGGCTAGGAAAGGAAAAAGATGATCTAATTAAAGAGTTTGATGAGGTATATAGGGTTAGCACAAGCTACGCCAGGCGTAACAACTGTCCAAGAGAAATTCATATCCGCTTCTCTAGGAGATGTCTGAGAGATTTAATTTTGAAAATGTCTAGGGAGGAAACAATATCATATAAGGGCAGAGAAATTAGGATTTTAAAACAAATTCCAAAGAGAGTGAGGATGATAAGACAAGATTATAAATTTTTAGCTAATGATTTAAATAAAGAAGGAATCCATTTTAAATGGTTAATCCCGGAAGGGATGTTAATTACATGGAAAGAGAGGAAAATCAAAATAGAATCGATAGAACAGGCCCAAGTTTTTCATCAACAGCTCACAGATAAGAATAGTCAACCCACCAAAGAAGAACCTAAAACAAGACCACAGGAGGTCCGATAGTATTATGTCATTCAGGGAAAACTACTTTATTTCCCTGAAAATAACCAGAGAATGCTCCAGTTTTTAAAGAAGGCTTACATTTACAAAATGGCCCAAATTGTATCATTCTTAATTAATTTCAAAAGACAAAGCATCATATCATTTCTTATTTAGAGAAATGTTATCTAGATAGATAAGTAATGCCTGTAATAGATCCTGTAGGGGGAAATGTAGAGATATCATAAAATGGCATGGGCAAAGTATTGATAATCAGCTGTAAAAGATATGGTTGGAATCTGCAATTTGGTTACTATAGAGAAAGGAAGGTACGCTAGAGTTCCTTTCAGTTTCCAACTTAACTGAGGACATCAAGGTGAAGGGATGTTTCTGGAGGAAAGCAAAGAACATAGCTGATCAAACATAACTATGAGGCTGTATCAAGGATTACCCTTTGACAATAAAAGTGGTAAATCAGCTGAAGAAAATATGATAGAGGATGGCAGAGACATAGTCCCGAATAAAACAGTGTCACAGTGTATAAGAGAGATCTGGTTAAAGAGGTGACATCATCTCTCCTCACTCCTTCTGCCATGTTAGTTTAGTGTTTCTCAAAAATTGTATCTCTGTTATTGGTATTGCAACAGTTGAAAGTGTTGTGTTATTTGGACACAAATATAGTATTATATCTTTTTTTTAATGCAGTTTTCCACTATATGGATAGAATGTATGAAGATGAATGTTATTAACTGTCTTTTAATTATCAACCCTTGTTTTTTCAAACAAAAACTTCTCTTGATGTGGAAATCAGTATATGAAATTACAGCCAGTCTCAAGCATTTTACTTCTAAGAAATAGTCCAGACACATTCTAGCTCCAGACATATTAAAATGATGCTGATTATCTGAAACCATTTGGTGATTAAAGCATTTTGTATAGAGAGTGAACGTTATGTAAACATATGTTTAGTCAATCCTTATAAAGCAGTGGTTTCAAACTCACAGCATCAAGTTATCATCACATGATGGATCGTGACTTTTTTCCCTTCGCTAAACTGGGGGTGGGCCTGGCCAGTGTGTGATGCATCTGGCCTGCGGGCTGTGAGTTTGACAACCCTGTTATAAAGTTTTCCTTCCCTTCCTGATTTCAGATTGTTAGTTAATTACAGTATTCGGAAAATCTTTATGTAAATGTTGTTGGAATTAAATATGCAGATTTATATATACTGATTACTCTCTGGAAGAACACAAAATATTAGTAGAACCTATAGTCATCTTTGCATCAGAGTGTTTTCAGTAGCTCCACATTATGGAAGAACAAAAAAACGGTGTTCCTCTCTTTAGTACCATTGTCATTAAAATCATTCTAATCTCTATTGAAAAAGGCAAAATATCCTAAATGTTTTTTCTTGTGAGAGAATACCCCCCACCTTTATGGCAATGTTAAGGGCACTTGTGCTTGGTTTTCAAAAATGAAAGAACCCAGTATTCTCTGCTATTCAACAAATTAGCTCAGATTTTGACAAAAGCCTGGAAAATAAATGACTATTGAACAATAGAGATGTGCTTGCTATCACATGGGATCCAAAGCATCTATGAAGCATGCCTATACTTTCTCCCAAACAGTAAAACTTTCAGTCCAGGTTCATATTAAAATAATTGATTCAGAAATAGATGGCTTGTTTACATATTTTAATGTAAATGTTTTAGCACATATACTTCCTGAATTTTAGAATGTTTTTGTCACCTTAGATCTCGAGTTGGATTTCCTGATAACCAAATCATTTGAATTTGAATATTTTGTCCTCTTTTGATGGCGAACCATAGAAGAACAATATACCATTTCTTTATTCCCTCTTTCCTCTCTTTAAAATTAACCTCCATTTTATCTACTTCCATTTCTTCTAGGCTCTGAAATGAAAACATATGAAAGTTTAAAAATCCAATAATATAAAATCTGAAAGTTATAGAGTCATAGTGCTGTACAATAAACCACAGATCATGACATCAATAATATAATTTGGATTCCTAGCTATTAGTACATCCTATATTTAAAAAATGGGGCTTCATGAACATAAAGAAAGCAACTATTTGAAGTTGCCATATCTTAATGGACCATTACTTCATGTATTACTTGCATTATCCACACTTATTTGTAAAGTAAATAACTTTCTACCTTAATCAAGTTTTAATTATTAATTTATATAAAGGACTACAGACAAGACTGATCTGTAGCTAGATTTAGCATTTTACTTAATAAATTTACCCCTTTTCCATTAGCAATAGAAAAAAAATACTTTGATCTCTTAAAAAAATATCTCTATATATTCATGATTGCTTCATTTTTAATACTTGCAGTATACTACTATCACCTTATAAATACCTGAATGCATTTTTTCAGGTTTAGTATATATTTTAGAATGCGGGCTTCTTTTTCTCCAGGCTGGTATATTATATGCTGAAGCACACCTCTCTTTAAAGAAAAAGAAAGAAAGTTTTAATTTTCCTCTTTTATAACTTTGACTCTGTCATTCTCCTTAAGCACATATACCAGAATTGTTACCATAACATTTTCTGATATTACATAATAAAAGATCCTATTGAAAAATAGCTTTAATTATACAAGAAACATATTTTATATTTAACCTGAAGTTGTGAACAAGATTTTTGAAGAAATCTTGTGCACTTATTTCATTTATTTTAATGCAGTTTTGTTAGATATATATTTGCCTATTCTTCAGGAATAGATGGATATATCCCTTTTATTTCTACAAGAATTATGTATGACATAGATTGAAAGAGAGTAACTTGTCCCAACTCCAAACCTACATTAATTGGTTTCTGTCTTAGGCTTACAAATCTGGGCTGGAAACATCAGGATGATCTTTAGATGGCAGCAAAAACATGACAAACATTTTAAGCTTTAAAGCTCTAGTAGTAATTTGGATTTTATAGCACAAATCATTTTTTAAAATACTTTTTCTTGATACTACAAAGCTATAAATGAAGTTTTTTAAAAATAGAAAATGTGAATAAAATATAAACAATTCAGACAAGAATGTACATTAAAAAGGTGATATAATGCAAATTAATAACTAAGTACATATGCAAAAAAAACTTACAAGGAAATGGAAGTACTCCAGATTTCTTTATATTATTCAAAGTTATTTTATGAAATGTTTAAATTGGATGGCTGATTTAGCTTCTGTAAAAACTATTCAAATCTACTGAAGATGAGAGGCTGCTATGCATCCAGATGAAACAAAGAACATAAAAGCTTTATGAACATATTGTTAACTAGCTGTTTTATGCAATTTATATTCTTTTTGTAGTCTTACCAAATTGTGAAAGTGCATATTTTTTGCCCATTTTATTTTTTAAAAAAATCATGAAAGTTTCATTAATAATTTAGATGAGTAACATATTTTTTGTCCATTTTATTCTTTAAAAAGAATATTTTTCTTCCATTTTTAAATAAGGGTGCTTTAGATCTGCAATTGTTCATGAGAGTTCAAATCAAATCAGAATTTCTTTCGTAATAATGACCCAAACCAACTACAGTATTCAAAATATCATGGAATTGCCATGATTTCAAGGATGGCAAGTAATTCTCTATTAGGGCCTTCACTATTAGCTTTCTTGAAAAATATTTAGGAAGGCACATTTAAAATATGGCATATAAATAAATTCCATTAGATATGAAAAATGATTGTAAAGCATATTGTGCTATTGCACTAAGATTGAACCAAAAAGCACAACAAATAAATCAGATGGGGCACAAAATATTCGGAGAATAAATCTGCTGCATTGAAATGTTGCATTGAAATGTTTATTAAGAAATTGTTACATTTCAATATACAAAATAACAAGTATTAAATTTAATAAAAAGGGCAATATAAATTACAACATTAACACAGAATTGTGACATTAAGTATAAATGCAACAAAACTATTTGGAAATCATCTTTAAACAATCAATAACTTCCTCTGAAAAATTTGGTTTTAAATTTATTAATAATATTTGGAGCAACCAATTTAACAGAGTGAAATAATGATTTTTAGAAATATCAAAATTTCTTAAACAACATGGACAGCATTTTTCTAGTTTGTATAAGGTAAAACTACCAGCTTCTCCAATATGTTTTAGAAAGACACTTTTCAGAAGAAGTGATATTGCTGAGAGTTAAAGAATATAAACCTCTGAAGCTCATAGTAAGATCCAGTTTTAGTGTTATGGACTGATACAGAGGAAATGTATTTTTCCCCCTGAAAGTGACAACAGTACAGTATGTTATAATTAGTCTGAATTTTTTTAGTCTTCTATTATTAATCCTTTGTGCAATCAATTTATTTATTTTTCTTTTTAAACATTATTTATCATTGGGGGGGGGGGGATAAAACCGTAAAAAAATAAAACCAGTGAATGAAGTAACAAAATGACAGGGAGATTAGAAGCATGCCAGAATAATGATTAAAATTTTATTATGAAAATAAATATTTAATAATAAGGCAAGAGGGGATAAACCTGAACTGAAACTTTCCCTGTATTTTTTTTATTTCTAGAAAAAAGATGATTAACATCAATGAAAAGTAATACTGAACATCCCCACATGAGCTAAAGAAGAGGTAAGAATTTTCCAGCTGAGTTTATTTAAGCTACCTCAAATTTATTTAATTCTGACTTGTGGACTAAGCCATAGATGATAGTTTTGCAAACCACAATTGTTGCATTTACATAACACATTTAAGGATTGGGGGAAATATGTTATATACTAAGATACAAATAATAAAAACTAGAGCAAGAAACAGAATTAATGATATCATTAACATAAAGTGAGATATCAAAATAATGATAAACAATATTAAAAAATAGTAATGACTGCTACAGTTTGCCTTCTTTGTAAATATACTCCAGTGAACAGCACCTAACATAGGTATTTTTAATAGAACATTAACATTTTTGCAGACTTTTTGAATGACCAGTTTCTTGTAAACTTGTTCCTCATTGCAAAAACATAATTGCAGAGACATTGTATAAAACCTAGAATCACATTCATTTAAGAAAACAATTTACTTGTTATTTTAGATAGATCTTTCTCAAAATTAATTCCAATAGCAATTTTTGCAGTTAATAAAATTTAAATCTCATTGTTTCAAATTCATGTACAAAACAACAGGCAGAAGATAAGACCAGCTTCCTTGTAGAGTCAGAGTAGCAATGTTGAAAGCTTTAGGACACTGCATCACCATTGAAAAACCTTTACTGATGAAACAAGAATGTTAATTAATTAGCATAGCATCTCATTAGGAAACAAATGGATGTCCATATCAGAAAGAGATCTTATGAAGCTGGGTGCTCACCTGTAGATAAATTCATTTTGGATTCTTTGGCTACCCCAATTTTAGCATAGGTGAGATTCTGTGACCTTCCAGCCATTGGCGCACTCAAGGAAATACTTCTCCCATTGGCTCTCTGAGAAGGAACATAAGAGGCATTCTCAGGATTCTTGATTTGATCATTTTGTTGGCAATTCCCTTTACTTTTAGAGTTTGAAGTATGCATTGCTGCAAGAGATAATAAAACAATCAATATTTCCCACCCAACATGTAAGAAACTACTCAGGGTTCAACATATACTGGAAGGATGGGAAATCCATTTCAAGTTAGTCATCCATGAACCCAGAACATCCATGAACCCAGAACCCTGGAAGCGGACCAGCACTTTGTGGAGGACTTTAAATTATCCATCATTCATATTAAAAAATGAATTAAATACTGGGTCCTAATAGAGAGCTCTACCTTAGTAGAGTGTATCTGATGATGGAAAATGGTAAAATAGGGCAGGCTGTGCTATTAGGAATGATTCAAAAGTTCCTTTGAAATACCTTTTGCTGTCAAAGGGGCAGGCAGATTTTTTGATTCCTCAGATAGCCATTTCTTTTTCTTGACTCCTTTAAAATGATGCTTCTTGATGCTTTCTGAATGGCTTGTAGCTGAAAAGAATGTTAGGATTGTGTTGTTCAGTTCTAGAGTAATGATTAGTAAGGAAGCCAACAAACAATCTATCCACTCTACTTAGTCATTGTTTTACATGATTTAGTGAATTATTATTCTAGTAGGTTTATGCAACTTATTAAATCTCAAAGGAATCATAGTTTGGCTTAGCACACACTGAATCAGGATGATCTGTGGCCTCCCATGTTAGCACATGATCCAAGAATTCTATTCAGTTTTAAGAATCTTTAAACCAGTGGTGGAATTAAATTTTTTTTACTACCGGTTCTGTGGGCGTGGCATTGTTTTTTTTTTGTTGTTTTTTTGCTTTTGCTTTTTGCAGCAAAACTCCCCCCCCCATGTTTTTTGGGCCTTCTGGGCCTCAGGCAAGCCCCCTTGGTGGGGCATTTTTGCTCCCAGAAGGCTTCCCTAGGACTCAAGAAGGGGGCGCGGCTTCCCCCACACTTCATTTTGGGGCTCCCTGGGGCCCAGGAAGGCAAAAAAAAGAAAAAACCCTCCACCTGCCCCCTTTTAGCCTCCTGGGCGAAGCAGTAAGTAAGCGAGGAGAATCCTGATACAGCTGATCATAGGAACAGCTTATTGTCGGGAGGGGAAAAAAGAAATACCTTAAGGAGTGACTAGGTGGGCTAGTATCAGGCGGGTGGGGCATATGAGCGAGCAGCAACCGGGCAACTGGGTCGGGGGCATGGCCAGCCAGAAGTTACTACTGGTTCGGCGACCCATGCCAAATACTTGCTGCCAGTTCACCTGAACCAGGGCGAACCGGCTGAATACCACCACTGCTTTGCACATATAAATCACCACTGCTTTACACATATAAATATCAGATATAATGGTCTGATATTTATAGCATCAATGTTACTGCCTGTTGCTTTATTTATTTATCTACAAATACAGAAGTTCCCTAGCAGAGTCAAGTATTTTTAAACTGACAAAAACAGATCACCATGAAGCAAGTTCAAACAATTGCTAATAGCTGCAAAAGTATAAAAAAGAAACAGGATATCCAGGGTGTTCTATAATATATCTAGCCACTAATTGTTCTACTTGATGGTTAATAAGCATACATGCTTCCTTCCAGAAAAGGCAAAGGCATCAAAAGTCAGTTTAATCAATCATTTGCTGAAATCAATATTCAACAGAATACCTGCTGTCAATCTTCAGAACTCTTTCATTCTATTGCTGTTATAATAGTAGTTCAATTGCTACTTTTAAAAAAGTATTTTATATATTTCATCCAAGTATAAGAGATCTGGCTGGAGCAAACAAAAGCAGCAGCAGTTTCCATTTTCCTTAGTATTAGCACACAAGTGGCCAGGGATTACAGTGAGCTAATGATGATGCAAATTGAATAAGACAGAATTTATATTTGTATTACAGCTAAGTTAGTCTTATTTGGGACTTATTCTATAATGTTCCTAAGATGAGACACGATTGGAAGATCTGGTTGAGAAGGTCTAAGGGGATGATCTGATGGCGCAATAAGTAGTTAAACCTAATCATAGTACTACAGTACTAAATATACCAGTACTACCAGGAACTATGCCAAAAATCCCAACCAATATTAGTGCATAGGTGTTTTTCAAAAACAATACAGCCATGTTTGCCATTCTGAAAGGGCATTTCTTCCCTTGAAGTGTTATGTCCTTATCCAGTGATACAATGCCACTAGCATGAGAATATGTCTAGATGATTCCCCAATTATGGCATCATCTAAGCAATATATGGTTCAAGTCACCCTTTTGAGTAGGTTGTAACCTATTCTACAAGACTTCTAAAAAATTTTCTGGGGTATATTTTCGCCAAAGCTGTTGCCAGAATGTTTAAGACAGCACATATATTTATTTTTCCATTGAGAAAAAAAAAGGGTGAAGCATGAGTTCTGAATACCTTTAACGTTTAAGCACTTTAGCATGGTAAATTGTTTCTCTCCATTGAACATTTTGTTTTGTATCCCTTCAACAAATATATTTCTTTGTGACAAGTAACAATCACCTCCTACAGAGAAACAGATATATCACATAATTATCAGAGAAAATGAAACAATAACAAGAAACATACAAAAGAAATAAATAAAAAATAGTATTCTAGATGTCTGCACTTTTCCCTTTAAATGGAAAAGCAATGAATGGCAAAATATGCACATGAAACAAAGTTGTTTAAACTAGCAAAATGAAATGTGACTCCATGGTATAAGCATCAATATGTAAAGTTCAAATGGCAATAACTCTTTCATTTGCCTGAATTATTGTGCTGATATTGCAAATCTGTTTTATTGTTTCCTTTCAAAGGCCTTCTTCTTATTTTAAACAAACTATAAACACATGCCTCTTCTAACATGAAAGGAAGAGGTTGGAAAATTTTGCAATCAATAGCTGTAGTCAGTTGATATCACACTTAAAATGCCCACTCAAACCATGGCACTTCTTTCCTGCAATTGTCCATTCAGAAGAAATGCCTTTAGGGAAGAAACAACCCACCTCACAATGTGGTATTTGGGGGGTGGGGGGGAGAGGTAAAATAAGTCATGGGAACATGATGTACACTACCTTGAGTTATACAGAAATAAAGGAGGATGTAAATCTAATCATCATAATAAGAAAAACAACAGAAAGTTGTCCTAATAAAGCAGAAACTTGGCTTATAAGGAAGCCTATGTACATACAGTTGTATATTTTATGTAGTTTTCTCTTTACAAATATCTACAGTGAATGTTTACAAAGTTCTGACATCCAAAAGCAAGAACAAAAAATGATATGAGGCTTATCAGGAGTGATCACATATTAAGAAATTTGGAGCATTGCACCTGAAGGGAGCTAGAGTTTCTTTTAGAAGTGTATTGTTCTGAACTGATTCTTTACAAAGCACATGAGAACTTAGTTGCTTGGAAATAATTGAAATAATTGAACTCTTCACATCCATATTCTTTTTTTCTTACAGATGATTATACCAATATCCTTGCTGAGGGCTCTTATTTCTCAAAGGTCCATTCAGCAGCTTTCCCCAACCTGCCACCCAATATTATCTTTCTTGTTCTGATGGAGAATTCTTTTCTTTTATTCTGAAACATGCAGCATATATTCAGGAACAACAGTGCGGGTGATTTTGTAATATGTTGATTCAAATCCCAAGTCTCTCTCCCTTTCCTTCTCCTTCTCTTTGTCTCTATTGTTGGTGGTTTCAATTGAGAAAGGATGCAAAAATTACAGTCTGAGAAGAGAAGGTAAACGTAGCTTTCAAACAATCCCAAAGCTTCTTTAAATAAAATTAAATAAAGACAGATAGCATTGCTTCATTAAATTAGAAAATGAAAAAAGATTGAGCAGAGTTTCTGCAAACTGGGTAGTAGAAATCGTATTTTAAATAATTACCTCCATTTTCAAAGGCACTAAGTTCAGATTTAGAGCAACTGTCCACTGAGGCTGTTATTTTTGTTTGTCTTTCTATAATGTTAAACTTTGATGGAACTGCAACACCATCACCTAGAATGGTGAGAGAGAAAATCTGTGAAGTTATTAAACTGCATGTAATAGGAATATTTTTTTGGAGGGCCAGCTATTACCATAGCATTACCTACTGTAAGCTTTAGACACCTATCTATTGGCAATATGGGGATCATAAATATGAAGTTACTAAGTTACTAAGTTCTACTTATCATTTTTTTCTATAATAAGATGGATTTTCTTAGGAACAATTAATAAAATATGACTAATGAATATTTTACTTAATTCCATGACTGAAGTGTCTGAAATAAATGAACATAATAATAATGTAAAGTTTTTTAATACTTTAAAAAGCCATCATGTAGCACATTTCTACACATAACTAGTTGCATAATGCTCAGTTGAACTTAGAGTAAGTTAGTAATAATAGGACTAATATAACTTTGCATCAACCCATCTAACTATTCTTTAACGTTATACTTTAACTGGAGAAACAAAAAGATTATACTGTATTTCTTTTTTACATACAAAGATACATAGGAAGCTGTCTTACATCAGATTTTATTTATTCATGTCATTCAGAGTTGGAAAAATAAAACATATTGACTATCAAATCCCCTTTCCTGGCTTCCAGAACCCAATAATCAGAAGGCCCTAAGTCTAATAGACAGGAGGCTCAGAACCATCTTTCAAATCCCCAGTCTCTTTCCAGAAAATCAGTCATTTTTTGGCATTATCCACTTATTTTGAAACAACATAGTATGCAAAGCCTGTTGCAGCCCTTAAGCTGAAATAAGTTACACTCTTGGCACAACCCAATATTTTCAACTCTGACTAGCACCAGGTTTTATACTTGACAGATTTCTACTCAGATAATTGGCAAACTCCCCATTGTCGCATCTGTTAATTGGTACTTTTAGTTGGCAAGTCCAGAGATTGAACTTGGGCTTCTTCCTGGAGTCTACATCTAAACAATATGTTAATGTAGATTTTTAACAATGAATATTTCTTATCTTTAAAAAGATAAAACAACATTTAAGATCCAAAATTAAAAACTTCAACTGTTCTATTCCTTGCCTTCTTGTAATTCTCTGCATGTTTCCATAGGTTTAATGAGCTCATTCTCCAGCACTGAAGAATTTTTTGTTAAATTATTTTCCTGAGAAGTCTGAATTCTATAATATTCTCCTGTTTCATCCACAAACAGACAAAAGAAAAGAATTGCTATTGTTATATCATCTTAAAAAATGCACCAATGTTCTTAGTTGATATAACAATAAGATTCTTACCAGATTTATAGCACATTTCCTTTATTGCCTTTTCTTCTTCTATATCTTCTGGTGTCTTTGACAATAAATAAGATGCATCTGTATGGAACAATTTTAAGTTATTTCTAATAAAATTCTTCCCAGGCTTTTTCCTTGCCATATAAAGCAAATCTGAATTGCATTTACATTTATAATACAAAACAAAATCTTTCTTTTACTGACTGAATAGTTTTAAAAGGAAAAGATAGATTATTTTTTCTAAAGAATGCCTATTCGCCACTTTCATTCTTTCCCTTCCCAATTGGGCATAGGAAAAAAAATATGTAAAGAGGCTCAAAATATCCTTACAAAAAATATGTAAAGAGGACATTTTGCTGTGGGGCAAGTACTGAGTTTATGAGTTCGAAAAAAGAGCCACGTCTGGCCAAAGTTGCAAAGAAAAATATTCCAGGAAAAAAATCCCTCAAGTGAGAAAAATCTCCCATGGAGAAGGAGATGCACATTTGCTGGAATGTTAGTAATTGTTCCCTTCTAGGCCCCATTCTCTCTGAGTCCCAAGACAGATTGTATGCAACTGGCCCTAAGCTTTCCAGTGCACACATTGACACAAAGGCATCACCCGTGGAAAGTAAAAGCACATGCATGCACCATGTTATTTTGTTACATGGAAAAACACAAATCTTTTTAATGGCAATTGCTGAGAAAAACTTAGAAAGAATTCTAGAATGTATACTTTATTTCTGTGATGGTGAACCTATGACACGTGTGCCAGAGGTGGCACACAGAGCCCTTTCTATGGGTATGTAAGCTGTTGCCCCAGCTTTGTCCAACGCACATGGGCACACGCACCTCCTGCTGGCTAGCTGGTCTTTGCGTCTCTGCCGTGCACGTGCAGGAGGCAGTTCACACAAGCAGGGGTCATGTGCGCATATGTGGGGGTCGTGCATGCATGCAAGATGACAAAAGAAAGTTCAAAGTAAAAAAAAAAAAAAGGATGAATTTTCCTGAGACTATGGACAAAATATATTAAAAAAATTTAATGGCCTTTTAGTCCCTTGCATCAGAGTCAGGGTGACTGAATGGAGCTGATCATTTACTGGCCAGATGCCTTTCCTGATGCCCATGCGGAGTTCATAGCAGACAATATTCTTTCTCACCCAGAGAAAGAAATATCTGCCACTACACTGAACTCACAGCCTCCTGATTGTGAGGTGAGAGCTTTACCTCTAGGCCACCGTGCTGCTCACAAAATATAAAACAATAATAATAGAAAAATCCCCATGCAACCCTTCAGAGCAGGATTCTCCAACCTTGGCAACTTTAAGATTTATGGACTTTCATTCCCAGAATTCGTCAGCCAGCAACACATTCATCTCCTTTTTTAACTATGTCTCCAAATTTAATATTAGGCAATATTTTAGATGTATATAGGTAAGCAAAGAAAAAGAATGGCAAGAATACTCATGTTGGGATTTAGTTTTCATCTCTTTCTAAAAGATAATATGTAGACAAACATGACAAAAAAATTTGAAAAATATTTACATTTTTCTTCTTGTTCTTCCTCTTCTTCCTCCTCAAGATTGATAGTAATAATAAGTGGAGGATGAATAGGCCTTAATGTATTCTCCTGACCTTTTGTGGAATCTTGATTTTGAGCAGCATGCAAAATTCCTTCCTGAACTTCCCCTTGCAATGTAGAATCTATTGGAAGTAACTTTAAATTCAGTATAAAGCTTTTGAATTGAGACTTTGAAGAGTTTAACAGACTTAACTCGCTCATAAAAGCCAAAACAAAGTTTAATAATTATATTTAGAATGTATATTATTACCTGAACCATTAACCAAATAAATAAATTAACTGACTTAATAGTATGAAATCCTATTCACAATGACATAGGATAAAATTCTTACATGTTCAGTTGGAATAACTGTCGGTTAAGTACAGGTAAGATTTCAACCTTGGTTCTTTAAGTGTTCCAGTTAATATATATTACTCTAACTGGCTTCAGTGAAATTTATTATGTCATTTGTTTATGGCAACAGCAAAGGAAATAAAATATGCATTAACTCTGAAAGAAAAGATGCCTTGAAGGAAATGTTTCTTTTATGATGCTATTCACTCCCCAAAGTATACAAAAGTAATTGCATATTACAAAAGAGCAATATTAAAGAAAAGATCCCATATCATGCTAAGCATTGGTTTTCAACTATGTTCTGACTAATCATAATCCATATTCTATGGTTCATCATTTGTAATGACTGTATTCATGATAAAGCCCCCAACTAAATGAACAAAGTATTATTAATATTGTAATGAGAGAAGGATCTATTGCCATAGTGGCCATTTATTTATTTGCCTGAAATGAAAACAGTCCTGAATTTAAGATGATCCTCAACCCCATAAAAAGGAGTAAACCAAACTCACCCATACATGTAAAAATCTTGCGCAATGCCCAGATTCTTCATTTATAAATTTAGAATTCCTGTTTTTAGCTAAAAGCAATCTTCAAGTTACATACTCATGAACATAATGTAAAATTTAAAACATCTTTGAATGCAGCTCAGCTCCCGTGTTGTCCTTGTCTTCTTGAGGTATTTTTCAATTTCCCATTCAACCCTATAATTTTCCTATAATCAACCATCCAAGCTTTAATTACCTCCAATTCTGATTTTTCTTTGGAGTCCAGATACAGACAGACAAAAACAGATATATATGCAGACAAAATACAATAAAATGATTGTGGTAGCATAAAATATAATAATTACATGATTTGTATGGGTAGTCCTTGTTCAGCAACCACAGTTGGTTAAAGCAATTCAATTATTAAGAGAAGTAATCACTAAGTAAAAATCATGTGACTGTAATTGTGTTTACACTGGCTTTCCTTTGCTTTACAGTGTCAGAAGAATATACTCCCAAACAATTAAGTGAGCCCAATTGGTAGAGAAGTTTTCCAGAACACGATTCATGATGAAGCCAGGTAAAAGGGCAAATTCTGTTCCCAACTCCCTTGTCCATTGGGATATTAAGCTCAATGCTGGGATAATTAGCAAGAAGAGAATTTTTTTTTTTAAAAAAAATACATTCATTGGAGAGGAGGGAATTGTAAGAGGATAAGCAGGCATACAGTAGGGAATATATTTTTCGCTCCATAAGACACACTCCCCCCCACAAAAAAAAAAGTGGGTGAAAATGTCTGTGTGTCTTATGGAAGGAATATTGTATCACAGTGCCAGTCCTTTTGGTGAATAGTAGCTGGGCAGTGGTGGCGGGGTCCTTTTACAGTGCTGAACCCCCGCTCTTCTGTCTTTGTCATTGCTTATCTCTTTTCTGCAGTGCAGGAGTCAACAGGCAGAGGTGGCACATGAGAGGACACCTATCTACGGTCCTCTCAGGCTCCAGTTCAGAATATTTTTTCTTGTTTTCCTCTTTTAAACCTAGGTCAGGTGCGTCTTATAGTGCGAAAAATACAGTATATGAAAAGGAATGCACTGTTTGCCTAGCCCACCTATGGATGTAAGCTGGGAGCTGCTTAGGAAGCAAAGAACAGCCTTTAATGTGAATCTGATTAGGGTCTTCTCATTGTCAGGCAACAGGGCCAGCCAACCTGAGGGTTCTAATCAACTTACTAAGGCTTGTTGACTTGTGGTTAGCACTTTTAGGGATACACTGTAGTGTGGAGAAAAGTATCTGAAGAAGAGATTGCTTGTTTAGGCAATCTATTCACTCTGCGTGGAGGAAGGCAAAAAGGGTGAGGGGGGGAGAAAGAAAAAAATGGACAGGCACAGGACAATGTATACTGATTGTGTAGGACAAGGCATGTCTTCCCAGAGTTGAGATGGGCAACTATACAAATCAAATAAGTAAATAAAATAAACTGACTTTAATAACAAACATATAACAGAGAGATAGAAAGAGAGAACGCTGCTGTCATTGGTCACAAAGTTATTTTTTCATCACCATCATAATATCCTCTAATATTATAGGCCATTCCATAAATCTGACAACTTTAACATCTCAATTGTTTATTTATTGAATTTGTAAGCTGATGGATTCCCAATGACACTTGGTGGTTCAAAAGTAAACTACCAGAGCCAAAAAGAAAAAAGGAAAACATACAATGAGTTAAAACCAGAATAGCAGAAAAAGATCTCTGTAAAAAGAGCAGTCCCGTAGCAAAAAAAAGAGCAGCACTAGAGCCAAAAAAATAACCAATAATTAAAATATATTGCATAAAGTATATCTTCAAAATTAATTGATTTCCCATCTTCATGTAAGCCTCTTTTTACATACACAAAACATGATCACCCACAGAATCACACAAGCTTGAGTTCCTTCTTTTGAGAAGAGACAAAATAAAAAAAGAAACATATGGAAGATGATGAGGACAAAAGAATCAAGATGTAGGTGGTATGAGAGAAAGGAGTATGAGAAGTGGTATGAGAGAAAGTCCTTGACAATTGAGCCCACATTTTTTGTTGTGAAATGAGACAGTTCTTAAGTGAGTTTTGCTCCATTTTATGACCTTTCTTGCCAGAGTTGTTATGCAATACACTACAGTTGTTAAGTTAGTACATGGTTGTTAAGTGAATCTGGCTTCCCCATTGATTTTGATTCTGTCGCAAAAGGTGACCCCATGGTCATATGCAGGACACTGCAACCATTATAAATAATTATAAATATGAACCTGTTGCCAAGCTTCCACATTCTTATTACATGACTATGGAGATGCTGCAATGGTTGTGACAAACAGTTATAAGTCAATTTTTTTCAATTGTAACTTAAAACAGTCAGTAAATGAATGGTTGTAAGTCAAGGACTACATCTAGTGCAGGGGTGTCAAACTCAAGGCCCATGGACCGGATTTGGCCTGCAGGGTGTTTAGATCTGGCCCACGGAGCTGCCCAGGGAACAGTGAAGGCGCGCAGCTCTCCTGGGCTCCATTTGCTGGCAGAGTGCTAGAAAAACAAATTACTGGCATTTGATCACAAAAGTGAAGTGGCATTTGATCGCACAAGTGAAGTTGATCTGGCCACACCCAGTCCAGCCCCCCAAGATCAAACACAACCCTGATGCAGCCCTCAATGAAATTGAGTTTCACACCTCTGATCAAGTGGGAAACTAAAGGTGGAAACTAAACTACGGGTAGGAACTAAACTGTGGAGATGAGGCAGAAAGAAGGCATAAAGGGGCAATAAAGGGAAAGAATTGCAACACTAGACCTAAAGTCCCATATTCTTACTAAGTTAACCTGCAAGTACATCCTTAGAAGGGAACTCTTATTCCCAAGGAAGAGAACGTGACCCCCTCTCCCTAATCAAAACATGAGACTCTTCTCATCAAATAAATACGGCACTCTTTTTGTGATCAGTTTCCTGAAATGTTTGCACACAATTAAATGTTTCCCTTTTCTTAAGCTTCTACAACTTTATTGTAATCTTAATATGCTTTATTTAGGAAGGGCATTTTCTTCTCCACCATTTTCTTAAAACTAGTATGGAGGAAATTACTTTTCTTTCTAAAACACAATTTATATAGATTCTATTGGGAATAACAGTAAAAAAAAACACCTCTCATGCAATTTGCAGAAGAGGTATATATATGACATATTCCATATGTGAACTTTCTTGTAATATTCAATTGTCTTTTATTATTAAAGCACAACTTTTTCCACATGTATTTTTCCATACAGAAAATAACATTATATTGGAACCATATTTTTAGTATTGCCATAAAATGCACCATTTATCTTTTCACCATTTTATAAATATCTATACCATTTTTTAAAAAGCAAACAAAACGTTTCTGCATTATGCAGTATATCAGTTATTCATATTGCCTCTCATCCCCACTTTTTCTGAATATTATCCAGGAAAGAGTGCTGAATACTTAATGTATCTTTGCAAAACTTATTTTAGGCAGATATTACAGAATATAAAAATACTGTTTCAGGCAACCTAATTCAACAAGAAAATCTTTTTCTTGGAATATAAAAACTGTTTTTCTCCATAACAGTTTGGAGAACTGTATCAGAGCAGGCAAAACTAGTTTAAGCATCCTAGAACCCTGGCTGATGGGTATGAACCAAAGAAGTGCTTCTCAAACCTTTTTACTTCAAAATCGCTTATCAGAAAGTCTTACTGAACTTTGAGGACCTGTCATAATTGCTCCCTTCAGTACTATTATAACTTCAGTCATAGAACAAATAGTCATAAACTGAGGACAGCCTGCATTATACAAACAATGTCCACTGGACGATATTTATGTCATTTGAACAAATTGCAATTGCTAATTTCATTGATTTCCCTCTTGATAGGAATACTTTAGAGATTTTCAAATATATTTTAGCATACGTGGCAATCTTTACATCAATTATATGTCTCTGTAGTGATGAGTAATGGGTTTGTGGGTGTCACTACCCAAAGAAAAAACACTTTCCCACAATTTTGGGTAATTTATTCAGGTTTGAGAAGCACTGGTTTTAAAATATCAGTAGCAGCAACAAAATGACAGTGAAGCCAATTAGTATTCACTCTTTTTTATAAATATCAAAGCTCCCAAACTTAACTCCTCCATATAAAAGGACAGTGTAAATTACAACAAGTACATTCACAAAAGAATGGCAAATGTTAAAAAAACTGTCTCTTGGGAGCTAAACATAACCTTGCAGAAATTCCAGGGATTTCAGAGGAATTTGAAGCTTTATAAATGTGTCCGAGTTTAGAGAGTAAGATACACAAGACCCCCATTCAATCAAGGCAGCTCAATTTTGCTTAGATGAATGTGCAGTTGAAACTTGTATCATGTAGTCTATTCTAACCATTGAATGTGTTTGTCTAGATGTAGCCCTCACCTAATTTCACTCACCAATCTGCACAAACCTGTGACAATTCAGAAGATACCTATGATAATTTTTCTAGAAGTTTCTTTCTGTAGTTAAAACAAACAAAAAACAGACTACCTTGATCACCTTCCTCATCACAAAACTGGCATCCCATGGAGACACAGTCCAAGCTCAACACAATATATGGAGGTAGATTTCAATGCCAAAATATACCAGGAGAACCAAATGAAGACCATATTACTGTTAACTTTGTTCCCTGGAGGGAGGAGGTAGCAATGATCCTTGAAACAATTTCGCTGCCGAACAACAGTAAAATACCAATTAGCTACTGATCAGAGCACAGCTACCGATTTCCACCAGTACAAGCGAATCACTTTTCTTATAAAACGTGGTGCAGAGCAACAAAAATGCTAATGTCAAAAAAGGCAGCAAAACAGAAAACTGATAGGAATCCAATCAGTACTGGTGGACATCAGAACTATCTTGCTTTGGGTCATTTAATTGGCTCATTACATTATTTCGTCTCTGACAGAAGGAGCACATCACAAAAGCAATTCTGAACCTCTCTACTAAGAATATTAGATTGACACAGACCATGCTGGCTTTCTGTAATGGCTTAAAGATATAATTGTGTCACTGAACTTGGGGATGCACACACACACACACACATATATATACATACATACAGAACCCATGCAATGATTCTCTTGATCTGTTGTGGTTGGGTTGTTTTTTTACCTTAGGTGCTGGATATACATTTATTATTCTACTTTTATGTGCTTTGTGGTGTTTTTAACTGCTGTTAGGTGGCCAAATAAATTCAAGTGATGGATGGATGGATGGATGGATGGATGGATGGATGGAAGGATGGGTTCCCATTAACTTTAATATTGATATCTGCAAAATTATTAACAGCTATAAGGGAAATAGAAATAAGAAAACTAATTATATAATTGCACTGGATACATTATTAATTATAATAATCTGCTATGAAAATAGCATTGAAAACAAAGATAGGCCCCATTCTAATCAGATTATGAATATGAACTTTAACTCAATACCTAAAACTAATTTTCAGTATGTTGCTCATCAATGATAACAGAAGTGAAACATACGTAATTGACTTTATTTCAGTTACTAGAATATGGAAAAGATACTCACCATTACTAGGGGGCAAAAAAAGTCCATTGATATTACGAGGTTTCCTGTGATGGAAGACACAACTGATCCTCACACAGCCTAAAGGCTGTGTTTCCCAGAAGCATGAGATGCTGTTGTATTTTTGCTATAGAAGAAAGCATGGGTGGTTTCATATTTAATGATTTAATAGAAATTGTCAGGAATTAAATTCTGCAATTCATAATCTAAACTATGAATAGAAATAGAACAAAGCACTCAAAAAAGGCTTTGCAATAAACCCCACTGCTATTTACTATGTGACTCTGCTGAAATTGTTTGGACTACTTTCAAAATTTAATTTTGAAATTCAAAATTTAACTGATCGGCATCAAACTGGTATCAAACATCAATTAGGATTCCTGTTTATTATACATGCTACAGTCCTGCATAAAAATTCTTCTTTGTGGGGAAGGCCTGTTTTATATTTCACACTAAATTGCATATTAAAATTTCACCACATCCAAAAATGTTTCATTTTAAAGAACAGCGGTCCAAACAGCGATTATTGCTATAGAACCTTCTTTTTGTAGCACTGGCTGTATTAATGAAAATTTTAAAATAGGAAAACAATACTAGTGCCTATTCTTTCATTAATATAGTTGCGTCACAACTATATAAAGCATCTGGAAAGAAACTATTTTTCCTAATCTCCTTGGAACCGCAGTAAGTATAAGCCAGAATTTACAGAAGTATAGTAAGTATAAGCCAGAAGTAAGTAAAAGCCAGAAGTTAAAGAACAATTTGGCATTAAATTTAATAAGGCAGAAGATAGTTCATTTTGTTTCTTGGCATCACTTCAATCTTAGCTCAATATGAAACCACAGTGACACACCCCAAAGCTACTTATGATCTGGATTCATTTATTTATTTTATTTATTTTGATTTGTCAATTGCTTACAAGATAATAGGTACAAGTATATACATAGTTATGAATACATGAAATGGGTACGTATAAGAAAAATAAAAGAAACAACAGGACAGGGATGGTAGACACGTTGGTGCGCTTATGCACACCCCCTACAGACCTCTTAAGAAAGGGGTGAGGTCAATAGTAGACAGTTTAAGGTTAAAGTTTTGGGGGTTTGGGGAAGAAACCACAGAGTCAGGTAGAGTATTCCAGACATTGACCACACTGCTGCTGGTCGTATTTCCTGCAATCAAGTTTGGTGCAGTTAACCTTGAGTTTGTATCTATTGTGTGCTCTTCTGTTGTTATGGTTGAAGCTGAAGTATTCATTGACAGGTAAGTCATTGCAATGTATGATTTTATATACCATACTTAGATCAGACCAAAGAGGCGTAATTCAAGGTTTTCTAGGTCTAGAATTTCAAGTCTGGTGGCATAAGGTATTCTACAATGAGTAGAGGAGTGGAGAACTCTTCTTGTGAAATATTTCTGGACTTTCTCAACTGTGTTAATAGCAGATACGTAATGTGGGTTCCAGACTGATGAGCTGTATTCAAGTATTGGTCTAGCAAACGTTTTGTATGCTCTAGTTAGTAGTGTGATATTACCAGAGAAAAAGCTATGTAGGATTAGGTTAACAATTCTTAATGCTGTTTTGGCTATGTAGTTACAGTGGGCTCTAGCACTTAGATCATTAGAGATGAATATTCCAAGGTCCTTTACAGAGCTTGGATCATCAACAAGGTCATGACTATTCAGCTTGTAGTTTATTTTCTGATTTTTTTTGCCAATATGTAAGACAGAGCATTTATTTGTTGAGATTTGAAGTTGCCATTTGTTTGACCATTCTGATACATAGTCAAGATCTTTTTGAAGAGTAGCAGGTATTGTCTGTGATACTGAATAGCTTTACATCATCAGCGAAGAGAACGCAGTTGCTCTTAATATGATCACAGAAGTCATTTATGTAGAGTATGAAAAGAGTTGGTCCTAGAACACTGCCTTGGGGGACACCACTATTGACAGGTACAGAATTTGATAGGATGCTCCAATTTTGACCATTTGTTGTCTGTTTGACAGGAATGCTTCTATCCAGTTATGCAGTTGTCCAGAGATACCATAAGATTTTAGTTTTAGGAGTAGTTTGTCATGTACCACTGAATCAAAGGCTTTACAGAAGTCTATGTAGATTGCGTCTATTGTTTTGCCCTGATCGAGTTGTGTAGTCCATATGTTTTTGCAGTGTAAGAGTTGCAGATTAAAGGATAGTTTTTTTCTGTAACCAAATTGTTTATAAGAGAGTAGGTTGTTTGTTTCTAAGTGGAGGATAATGGATTGGTCAATAATTGATTCCATGATGTTACAGGTGATGCAACATAAAGAGATTGGTCTGTAATTTTCAACTAGGCTGGGGTCTCCCTTTTTGAAGATGGGGATGACCATGGGTTGTGACCATAGGTTAGGCATGGAGCTGGTCCTGAAAGATTTTTCAAAGGTTATGCTTAGAGGTTCTGCTATGGCAGTGGATAACTTTTTTAAGAAGTAGGCACATATTCCATCCGGTCCAAGAGATAGAGATGATTTTAGATTGCGTAGTGCTTTTTCAACATTGTCTTCTATGAAATCGATATGTATTAGATCATTGTAGTTTTCTGTGGTTCGGCTAGGAAATACTGGGCGTGATCCATTGCTGTTTATAAATACTGAGCCAAAGAATGTGTTAAAGAGGTTGGCTTTAATGGTGTCATCGTTGGAGTCTACCATTAGGTCCTATTAGGGGTGGGATGGACCTTGAGTCTTTTAGTTCATTGTTTACAAAGTTGTAAAAAGCGCGGGTGGATTTTCCTCTTGTTTAATGTGATAATTGGTGCATTCAGTCTTTATCTGGTGGCATAAATTTTTGTATTGGCTTTTGAAGTTGGCAACATGACTAGATTTGTTTTTCCGCTTACAATGCTTACAATGGATGCCCCTTACAGTCACATGGCTGAATTTTGGGCGCTTGGCAACTGGCCTGCATTTATGGCTGTTGGCAATATCCCATTGTCCATGTGATCATGATTTACAACATTTTTGTTGGAAACCAAAGTTTACTTCTAGTTTCCATCAAAAACTTCTCCACTGCAATCAATGGGTTCACTTAATGACCATGGCACCATTATACCCGCTTAACGATTAAGGCAAAAAAGGCCATAAAATTTGGTGGTCATGTGGTGACCTACTTAATCACTATCACAACTTATAATCATAATTGTGGGTTCAATTATGATCATAAATTGAGGACTAACTGTAAAAACTTCTATTATTCTAAGCAGAACAGATTATGAGAACAGAAATCCAATTAAAGTACAGATGCAGAGTTACTTAAAATTCAGTGTTTTTTGTTGGTTTTCCAAACTTAGCGTAAAGTGTGAATGAATATAAATCTTTAGCTGATGAAATTGTGTGACTGGATGTCAGAAGAACACTCTACTTCTTAAATGTGAAACTAAGATATCATATCCCAAAAGAAGAGATTTTAATGGAAGAAAATAGAAGAGATGTGAAACTAACATGACATATTTTCAGTAACGATAGCAGAGGTTAAAAACAGGTGGTGAATTCTTATAATAGTTCTAGTTCAAGAGAGACCACTTCAAAAGCTTGTTATTTCTACCTGTATTTCCATATGTCTAAATTTGCAAAGTTGATGGGAACATTTTCCCTCTCTCCATAATGAGCACACAATATCACTGCCAATGGCTTTTTCACAGTGACGGAACCTGCACTTTGATCCCTGGATATAGAAAAAAAGAGAGGTTTGAAAACTTGGCTACATAACATTTCCTCTATTTAAATATTTTAAATAATTTTTCAGGTTATAAAATTACTGAAACAACTCTTTAAAATAACAGTCAAACAGAAGACCAGAAAAATAGAAAAAAGCCAGCAGAACTAATACTTCTCACATACAAAAATCCATTCTAATACTTGTGGAACTAAAGAGTTGATTTAGAGTTGGAAAATACTGGATTTGAATCAAGCAGGGCAATCAATAATCATTATGCAAGATGTTTCTCCAATCATATCCATCCAATTTTAGAAAGCAGGAAAGATGACAGTGTCAGGTGTAAAGTCTGAGTAAACCTTAGCCTATCAATTTATTATAGTTTGGCATTGTAATTTTGTTACTCCTGCAAAAATATAAACAAAAACCCCAGAGAATCTACAAATTAATTTATATATTGTCAAGTAAGTTCAGCTACTATACAATTTTCACTCAAGTGAACTGAATAAAATTAAGTAGTAACCAGAAGTTCCATCACGGATAATAACTAGAAGATACACTAAACATCATTAACAAGATGAGGTATGTTATTGCTATACACCGTAGCATGCCATAGATATTGTATTTCAAAGTAAGCAAATAAGTAGAAAATTTATTTAGGAATCTAGGCCCAAGCACAAAAACATCTCCTCACACTCCAAATTTAGAAGTGGAGAGAAGAACATATAAATATCAACACGGTGATATGATTTCAGAAGACAATTGAAGAATTGAGTATGAGAATTTTTTGGATTAGCAACCATAATCAGGAAACTTTGAGCATTATGTTGTTGGCTTGAGCTCCAAGCTTGACCATTTGGTTGCAAACGTTTCGTCCCTATTCGAGGAGATATCTTCGGTGCATTTTGGATTGTGCTTGTCTGGGAGAGTACTGGCCTTTAAATAACTTTCTGAATCCTGGTCATTTTAAGGCCAGTACACCCCCAGACAAGGATGTCTCCTCAAATGGGGATGAAAGTTACATTTGCAACCAAATCACCAAGCTCAGAACTCAAACCAACATAACTACCAAACCGAGCTGCTAATATTCAAAGACATTTCAATACTGAACATTGTTTAATACCCATTTTAAAGATATTACATCCAGGTCTTCTGAAACAGATAATCTATCTTCGTGAGCGCTATAAATGGATAAATGGAGAGTTTGGTCTAAATGGGTAAAATATCAGGTTAGAAACCAGAAGACCAAATTCTAGTCCTGTCTTAGGCATTGAAAGCTGTCTGAGTGACTTTTGGCCAGTCACTGCCTCTCTCAACTCCATGGGGTTGTTGTTGTGGGAAAATAAAAGAAGGAGTGTTAACTACCTTAAACTATTTATCAATATAATAAAGGCAGGAAACAAACAAACAAACAAATAAAATAGAGAGTATGAGGGGTCCTTCATGCAGAGTATGATATTTGCACTAGAGAGATCTGTTAAGAAAACACTATATATTATTTCTGCTGACACTTGTTAATTTTCCAGGAAAGTTTGTTACACAGTGAGAACTACTAATGGAAAATGGCTTCCCTGTAATTGGGGATTTCTGTTTAATGGTTCAAAGTAGATGTTCCTGGGAGTATCAAAAAGATAACCAAGGATAGCAATTGAAAGCACAGGCTTCTGATTCTTTCAATAATGTTATCACTGTTTCCCAAAATGACAGCAATCTTTTCCCATATCAGATAACAATTTTTGCTTTCTTGTAATCCAATTTGAATGCTGCATTTTCACATATTCTATAAGTACTAGGATAAATCTCTGATTACTAAACCTCTCCCTAAAAGATATTAAATTTTATATTCCTGAAACATTTATCAGTATTTTTCTACTTTATTTCTTTTTTACTACCAATCGTACCCCACTCTTACCTTTGTTACCCTACTTATGTATATAAGCCAGAAAATTATCCGATGTTCAAAACAATCAAGAGAGACCCCTTATATTGAAAATAATTAATATATAATCTGTGGTCTTAGAACAACTGCTTATAAACTTCTTTAACTCAGTCGTTAAATTTAGGATCATATACTAAGTCATAAAAATTGACTCCATCAATATATTTTATTATTTATTATTTATACACCACCCAACTTACCTAGGTGGCTCTGAGTAGTTTGCAAATAAAAATCATACAGCCATATAAAAGAAACATGGGTAAAAAAAAGTTAAAAACAAAAGTGGAAATAAATGGAGAGAAAGGGGGGGAGCGCTAAAGATGAAATTGGGATTTCCAAGGGAGATTTGGCAAACTGAAGATAGCGAAACCAGGACTGGCAACCATGGTAAAGACTATTAAGGTTCCTTGCAACCTTTTCAGATATGAAGAGAATGGGAAATTGTTCATATTGCTCTCTGTGGCTGCTACTCATAAGGACAATGTGTCTTTTGTGAGTTTGAGCAGTGAAACACAAAGGGATTAGCCATCTTGCTCAAACTTAAGGACCTAAAGAATATTAAATAAGCAGCAAAAAGCCAACTAAGATTTGGTAAATAAAACTTAGAAGATAATAAATGGAACATTAAAACTTTTACAAATAAATAGTGTGTCATGAGAATATTGTACATCTGCCTTATATACATATTCTTTTGTGTATTTTATACTGTTTTATACAGTTCTATACAGAGATAAGTAATTTCATGATTTAAAAACTGGACAACACAAGGGACTAAAAATTGTAGGTAGTGGAAAAAATATTCAAGCCGGTAAAATTCAAAATGCTATTACAATGAAAATACCAAAGGAGATTTTTGAAGAATGGAGTCAAAAATTAATCACAATCTCAACAATGTTAGTAATGATGTCCGCTTCCATGAACAAGCTTTATTCAAAAGTTGTCATTGGAGAAATAATAGATGTAGAATAAATTGATGTAAAATTGGTGTTGAAAATAGAGTTACAACTATCAGACCAAGAGAAGAGTTGAAAAAGGTTGTTTCACTGAATTTACAAAAATTTACAAAATCTGGATTATTATTTGAATTTCCCTTTCAAATTTTAATAGCTATTAAAATTTGAAAGGGAAATTCAAATAATAATCTGGATTTACAAAACAGGTTTGTTAAAACCTGTGGCGGAATGTGGTGCAGAATCACAGGAGGACATTTTCTTTCCCAAGGAGCAAAGAGGCAAATCATCCAGGAAATTTTGATCTACAGAAAGAGGCTTGGAGTGGACCCTCCCTAATGCTTTTCAGGGTGTATCTATTAGATATGCAGAGTATGTTTTAGTCTAACAAGATTCCTATATATGGGCAATCAGCAATAAAAGATACCACTTTGAGTAAACTCCGTCATTCTTGATTCCTTACACCTGACATTTACATTGTGATAAAGAAGAAATGAAGAGTAATCTGATCCTATGACATTTGAATGAACTAAAGATTAAAACTATTAGAGGAAAGGAATATAAAGCTTGGTTATTTGATCAAGGTTAAAACAAGATATGTTATTGCTTTTGAAAACCTTTTATGGACTTTCTGCTGATGTTAGGACTGAAAAGATGATGCTTTATGGATTTGTCTAAAACAAGGGATGGCTTAAATGGGGTGAAGAGATCATTAATTGTAACCTTAAAGATTACTAAATTTGTTTATGCTTGTTGTGATGAAGGTTGGAAATTACTTCTTTGTATATTTTCTCTTTATTATATTCTTACTTTTTTCTCTACTCTTCCCTTCCTTCTATTCATTTTCTTTTTTCTTTCATCTTTTATAGGGTTTGCCTTCTTCACATTCTTGCCTTTCTAACCATATAGAATAGAATAGAATAGAATAGAATAGAATAGAATAGAATAGAAT